TATTGCCCGATGTACTGTTCATAAAGGAGGGGGTCCCGGCCCCTCATTTGTTCATCGCTGAAATATTCCCCACCTGCAAGGAATGGAGAGAGGGGTGTCTGTGAGCTGGCACATTGGTCGGTGCAACAGACAAATTGGATTAGACAAATGGCAATTCTCTCTCTCTCTCTCTCTCTGTAATCTATATCTATCTATGGTCTATCTATCTATCTATCTATCTATCTATCTATCTCTGTCTATCTCTGTCTGTCTATCATCTATCTACCTATCTTTCTATCTGTCTGTCTGTCTGTCTATCTATCATCTATCTACCTACCTACCTATTTATTGTGTCTGTCTGTCTCTAATATCCATCCATCCATCATCTGTCTATCTATGGTATCTATCATCCATCCACCCACTCACCTACTTATCACTGTATCCACTCCATCCAACATCACTGCATTTCTCCCCCTCCCTCCCATCTGGCTTAGTTACAGAACAAACTCAAATTTCTGCCTTTGCACAACGGAACTATTAACTAGCAAAATAAGATGAACCACAAAAAAGCTAGACGAGTAGCTAGTGTAGCCTATTGTGGGCATTTGATCTCTGACTAAGCTGGAGAACTATGCTATGAATGATCTTAGTCCTATCACTGAAGTCAGCCACTAATATACATCAGAAAGTTTTGCACATTAACACCTGCAACTTATGCTGCTAAAATGGCGCCTGTTCCTAACCCTTAGTCCATAAATCCACCAATCCACAGGTTTACTTCTAAACAAACTGCCCCCCCCCCGAAGTCAGGCCCCGGTACCTCTGATGAGTTCTTGCAAAGCTGCGTAGCGCTTGTTCCTCACCCTAGTGTGTAGGGTTTTGCCCAGGTTTGCTTTGCGGACTTCAGCGCAGTAAAAATCTGCCTCATAATTGCCAGAGAGATGGTGGAAACAGGGCAAGTCTTCTTCGCGCAATACCGTTCGGAAGCGCTCCAGGAAGATCAGAGGCTTGGTGTGGTATAAATTCCGTAAAATGTCCAATTTCTGGACTGCTGTAAAATCTGGCTCATCCTTCTGTTGGCTCTGGACTGCCAAGTGGCTGTTGGCCACAGTGTGAAACATGGCAAGCACAGCAGAGTCTTCCTCCTCCATGGGACTATCGGTCACTACGTTTGAACAAGATGATTTGTAATTTCCATTTTTGTAATGGGACTGTTGGTCATTGGAGGACTCCTCTCCGTTGGGGGCGCCATTTTCAGCATCCAAGTCCCCCAGTTTTTCAGTGCCTTGGTTAAAATCTTGGGTAACCTTGCTTCCCTCTTTTGTGGCTGGGCTTTCTGTCTTTAATTCACCCCAGCAGCAGGAGAGAGGGGCCCCCACTTTAGACCTGTGTCTATCCACCAAAGCATTTTGGCCTGGATGCCAAGATTCCTCCTCCCTAGGAGAAGGTGATTGAAATGTTCCTTTCCTGCTCAGGGAATAGTTGTGTGAATTTGGGACTCCTGACATTTGTTCTCCCCAATATGTGTGACCCCTAGGGGAACTGCCAACTGTCCCAAAGTTGCACATATCTGAGGCTGCAAAGTTCTGATCATCCCCAGGAGATGCTCGGTGATCAGAATCTCTGTTGCTCTGCGAAGGGCAGCCTTTGTCTGCTGGAATTTCCATACTGTGATTTCTTGCTTCGATTTTGTCTGGAAAATTTTCTCTCTGCCTTCTGGGGGCAAACTGCTTGCTTTTTCCTTTTTTTTTTCCTTAGGGAATCAACACCTGGAGAGAGAAAATAATTTTTATAACATCGAATCAAACAGGTATCAAATGCCCCCAAGAGAGGGAATAACATCTACTCTACTAGGACAACCACAGATCTGTGGCTCAGAAATAAATACAAATAAGCTTGTAGGACGCCATGGCCTGAAGCCCAAGAGGTGTTCTGTGAAGCAAAGTTAAACTGTAGAGAAGACAAACTCAAAATAATTTCAATGATTTATTGCAATGGCTATATATTTTGGGAGGAAGACCCAAGAGGATGTTGATAATATCTTAAAATAGACTTTAATTGCATGAAAAAGACAGGATAGGGAGGGAGGAAGCCATGGCTCCCCCTTCCACAGTGATACTGATAGAGGTCCAGAGGTCCACCCCACCATCCCTTAAGTAGTTCTGAATCCCCTCCAAGCACATGTCCAGATATTCAGATTTAAGGGTCTCAGCTGGACAAAATCTCTAAGTGGTTCTACATCGACCCGATGGACAGGAGGCTAAACATATAAAGAACGATCGCTGGAACTGGGTATGTCTAGTTTAATGAAAAGAAGGACTAGGGGAGACAGGATAGCAGCCTTCCAATATCTCAGGGGCTGCCCCAGAGAAGAGGGAGTCAAGCTCTTTTCCAAAGCCCCAGAAGGCAGGACAAGAAGCAACGGATGGAAACGAATCCAGGAGAGAAGCAACTTAGAACTAAGGAAAAATTTCTTGATAGTTAGAACAATGAACCAGTGGAACGACTTGCCACTAGAAGTTGTGAGTGCTCCACCACTGGAGGCTTTTAAGAAGAGATCGGACAGCCATGGTAGAGGGTTACTTGCTTAAGCAGAGGGTTCGACTAGAAGACCTCCGAGGTTCCTTCCAACTCTGTTATTCTGACTGCCCGATCTCCCCCCCCGCCCCCCCCAAGCGCTCTGGAGAGGGAGGACCCGAAGGGGACCAGGTGGGGGTCGTTGCCAAAGGAAGGGGCGCCTTTCTAAGGCAACTCCCCCACCACCACCACCAAAGCAGCGGGGGAAGCCCAGGACGGAAGCTCACCGTTGGAAACGGCTCCCGAGGCTCGTTCCGCTCCTTCTTCGATCTTGCGCCGCCCACCGTCTTCGCGGGGGAAGGTAAATCGAGACGGACCGGCTCTCTCTCCGAACGACTTCCGGTTCCTGGGCGGGTCCGCAGGGACGGCGCTCCGGGCAGGAATCGTGACTGCGGAAACTTTGGTTCCGGGAGAATTCTAATTGGTGAAATCTAGGGAGCTTCTTTTCATAGGGATCACGGTTGTCCCAAAGGTGCTTTTTCCAAAAGGAAACTGGAGTTTTGCAAACGTTTCGCTTCTCATCCAGGAAGCTTCTTCAGTTCTGTCACAGTCTCAGAACTGAAGGTGCTTCTTGGATGCCCCAAAGGTGGTTTTTCAAGAGGCCACTGGACTTTCTTCTTTTTTCTTTTGAAGATGTTTCGCTTCTCACCCGAGAAGCTTCTTCAGCTCTGACAGAATGGTGGGGGAATGGAAGGATTGATATTCCTTGCAGAAAGCTGGTCAGAGTGGAAGAAGCTTCTTGGGTGAGAAGCGAAATGTCTTCAAACATTGGTGGGATTCCATTTTTTTTATTATTGGTTCTGTGGGTGTGGCTTGGCGGGCATGGCAGGGGAAGGATGCTGTAAGATCTCCAGTCAGAGGTGGTATCTGTCGGTTCTCCAAACTGCTCAAAATTTCCGCTACCGGTTCTTCAGAACTGGTCAGAACCTGCTGAATACCACCTCTGTCTTCAAAAGAAAAAAACCAGAAAGTCCAGTTGCCTCCTGGAGGACTGAGAATCTCTACAGATTTTTAGCTATGCAATTTGGGACAAACATCCTTGGAATGGTGTGGGGGTAGGAAGGATTTCCAGAAGGAAAAATTGCAGACTAGAAGCGAAAGGTCTTCAAGGAAAAACAAAGTCCAATTGCCTTTGGAAAAAAAGCACCTTTGAACTGGACAATTAAACAGGCAGTAATAGAGAATGTGGAAGAAAAGAACAGTGGGAGAAAGGAAGAGAGACCGATATTTTTGTAAAGGGGAAAAAAAAAAGTCACAATCGTAGGACATTACAGGAAGAGTATTTCCTGGTCTTTTTTCTCTTTTGACAACCTGGGTAAAAATAGGGAATCAACTCCCTGCATCCTGGCCAATGTAACACACCTCACAGGGTTGGTGTTATGAGGAAAATAGGAGGCAAGAAGTATTAAGATATGTTCACCCCTTCCCAAAAATTCTCTAAATCTACCAGTTGGGAAAAACAAGCTGAGGAAAAGCAGAGAGGAAGAATGGATAGCGATGATGATGATAATGTGGCTGATTCAAGACCAGAACGACATCCAACTGCTGATGTGTGCAGAGGCCAAAAGTGAAGTTTGAACTTGTAAAGTCATCTACAGCAGGAGTGTTCAACCTTGTCAACTTTAAGATCCGTGTCCCAAGGTGCTCTTCCGAAAGGCAATTGGACATTTGTTTTTTTTCCTTTGAACTTTTCGCTTCTCATCCAAGGAGCTTCTTCAGTTCTGAGACAGACACAGAACTGAAGAAGCTTCTTGGATGAGAAGCGAAACCTTTTCAAAGAGGAAAAAAACCCAAGAAGGAAGAGTTGCCTTTTGGAAAAAGCAACTTCGGGACAACCATGACCTGGATGATTAAGAATCTCCATAGACTGTAGAGATTCTCAGTCATCCAAATCATGGGTGTCCCAAAGGTGCTTTTTTCAGGAGGCAACTGAATTGTCTGGGGTTTTTTTCTTTTTTCTTGAAGACGTTTCACTTCTCATCCTTCTCTTCTTGGATGAGAAGCGAAACGTCTTCAAAAGAAAAAAAAAACAAGAAAGTCCAGTTGCCTCCTGAAAAAAAGCACCTTTGGGACAACCTCCATATAGACATTTAAGACCGGTGGACTTTCACCTCCCAGAATTCCCCAGCCAGCGCCAAGCTGCTTTTTTAATTCTTTCTTTGGAAGGACAGACAGTGAAGCTGAAATACTTTGGCTGCCAGGACTCATTGGCACAGATCCTGATGCTGGAAAAGGCAGAAGGCAAGAGGAGACGGGGACAGCAGAGGATGAGATGTTTACACAGTGTCATCAATGCAATTCAATGAGCATGAATTTGGAAAACTTCGGGAGACCGGGGGGGGCTGGTCCACAGTGTTGCAAAGATTAAGAGACAACTTAGCGACTGAAGAACAGCCTCAACGATTTTTAAATGCTGCAGGGTAGAGACAGAAACACGCAGACAGTTTAAAGTTCAATATTCATTCTTTTTCTCCAAATACAAAAAGCTGTTACAATTCAACTCAACACAAAGCAGGTTCAGAGTTACAGAAACTGAAACGTCGTATAAAAAGTTACACATTTAAGATGATTCTCTCCCCGTTTTTTTTTAAAATCCTCTCCTGTACTGAACTAACAGAATTGTTATCTTGATGAAAATATTAACAGCTATTGACCCACAGTAAAAAGTTACAGAAAAAAAATATTTTTTTTTTAAAAAAAAAATCATAATTACTGTTAAGATAGCCATTTTTCCTCCCCTCCGGTTTTAATGGTTATTTGCAAAAAAAAAAAAAAGATAGATAGATAAAAACACCTCAAAGACAGGTGACACCAAACTGCGAGAAGTTTCCAAAAGGTGTGGAATTTATGGTCACTAGCAGATTGGGTGGAGGCGGAGTGGAGAGAATTTGGGGTGGGGGGTGGGGGGTCTGCAGGAGGCGGTCCACAAACAGAGTGGCCGCAACATGACCCAAATCCTAACGTGCATTGTGACCACTTGACTGGACCATCCCCTGCGGACACCCCTGGAGAGAAGGGAGGAACATCCTACGGGAGCCCCTTCCGATGCTGCCCCGCAACTACTGCAGGAAGTTTATATATATCTGGGTGGGTCCTGGCCTAAAAAAAAAGAAAAAAAAAAGAGGAGTACATTTTTATGACGCTGAAGACCCTAGCTTCTTACGGAATAAAACAAAATCTTAAAAGAAGAGGGGAAAAAAAAAGGAGGGAGGGGGTTTTGAGGGGAAGCTAAAATGATCTTCAACAAGGAGAGACAAGGAACCATGTAACTTTCCCTCATGAAGGATGGCAGAAAGGACATAACATGCCTAGCTGTACAAGTAAAAACGCAACCATTCTCAAGAACTCTAGAGAGGGAAACTGGGCGGAGACACCCAACTTCCCCTTTTCCGGCTCTCTCTCAAGATTCAGGAATGCCCGCCACTGTTAAGAACGTGCTGTTCCTTTTCCCTGGGGGGGGGGGGGGGGGGGGGGGGGGGGGGGGGGGGGGGAAATGACACCTTCCCCGAGCTATCACTGTGTGCTTGAGCTGCCCTGCGAGGTGCCCGTGTAGCTCCCGTAGTCGTAGTTGCCGTAGTACGGAGGCCACTGACTCTGGTTCTGATAGTATTGGTTCCATTGTTGGGTGTACTGTGGGGAAAAAGGAGAAAATGGATCAGTGGACAGGTAATATTCTCTCCCACCCACCCACCCACCCCCCAAAAAAACTTTCCATTTCCATTTGCTGGCTTAGCTGGTATTATGTCAGGTTTGTTTCCTAACCTTCTAAAGTCCCTCTTCACAAAAACTCAGACTTAGAATAACTTAATTGTCACTTTGAATGGACACATTCGGCGCACATTAAAATGAAATTTTGTTTCGTGCAGGTCTCAAAGCGTCTCCATCTCCAATATACACTACACAAACCATGACAAAATGAAGAAATGCAAAATGATGCATGTACCCACATATATATTAGCTGTCCTTGTTAAAGGCGAAGGACCGTCAGGAGCTCCGCTGGTGCCATGTATTAAACCAGGGCTGTTCAACCGTGGCAACTTTTAAGGCTTGTAGAACTTCAACTCCCAGAATTCCCATGCACAGCTGACTGGGGCGATCCTGGGAGTTGAAGTCCACAAGCGTTAAAGGTTGCCAAGGTTGGATATCACTGCATTAAACTATCGATCTGGAGGAGGACGGGATCACCGCTTGAGTTTTGTAACCCATTGCAAGTAATCCTTGACTTACAGCCAAAACTGGGATTAAGAATTTCTGTGGCTAAGTGAGTCACAGCCCTTTCGGGGCATGGCTACTAAGCAAATCACTGCGGTTGTTAACTGGATTGTTCTGTGAAGTCGGCTTCTCGGTAGCCAGCTAAGATCACACATGGCGACCACATGACTCCGGGGTCCTGGTCCTTAATGTGTGTGTGTGTGTGTGTGTGTGTCTGTCTGTCTGTCTGTCCCCCAGTGTCCTTTTAATGCACAAGGGCAGCCTTGCTTTTCCACACTTACCTGTTGGTACTGGTTGTAGTTGGGCTGACTGTAGGCTGGTGGGGTTGGGGCTGGCGGCGGAGGAGGCTGGGTGTAACTTTGGCTGTAACTGCCGTAACTCCCGTAGTTGTAGCTGGGAGCAGTGTAGCCCCCTTGGCTGTAGCTGGAAGGGGGGCTGTAGGGCTGGCTGTAACTTTGCTGTGGACGACAAAGTCAGAGATGGTTCTCTAAGCTGAGACACAGGCTCTCTAAATCCCACTTAGTCGGTCTCTGAAATGCTGCGAGCTGAAGCATATCTGGCTTGTAAGGGTTGACACCCCTTTTTTTGCCCCAAGGGAACATGTAAAAAAAGCTGCATTTTGGTCTAGTGGTTAAGGCACCAGGCTGGAAAGCGAGAGACGGCGAGTTCTAGTCCTGCCTTAGGCATGAAAGCCAGACAGTGACTTAGGGCCAGCTACTCTGTCTCAGCCCACCTCAACAGGGTGGTTGTTGTGGGAAAAATAGGAGGAAGGCGTGTTGGATACATTCCCAGCCTTGAGTAGTTTGTAAAAATAATAAAGGCGGGGTATAAATGAATTTGTAAGCTATCGACATGGCAAGGGCTAATGGAGCACCGGGCCTTTAAATAGGTATCAAGGGTGTCAGATTTCATGCCCATCTGTCTGGCTATCCCTCAACTTTCTGTATAACCACCCAGCCATTCCACCGGATCCTTTCTCAGCTGCCCCGATTCATCCCTCCATTAGCCCGTCTGAAAGGGTCTCGGCATTTCCCCAAACGGAATCTCGAGTCAAACCCTGGGTGCCCCCCGCCCCCCCCGCCCCCCATTTACCTGTGGTCCTTGATTGTACGACCCCGGAGGGGGGTTGGTGGCAGGGCCCAGGGCTGGAGGAGGGGCAGGAGCCATGCTACTGCTCTTGTAAGGATTCTGGTCACGTGCCGGGCTGTAGCTGCTCTGCTGCTGGTTGTTCTGGTTGTAGCTGCCTCGGGTGTTGTTATTGTTGTCTCGGTTTCCGCTCCCCCAACGGCTTTGGTTGTAGCTGCCTCGGCTGAAGCCTGAATGGGAAAGTCAAGAGTTATGAGCTTCCGCTAAAGAGCCGGTTTGGTCGAGTGGCGAAGGGGCAGGGCTAGAAAGCAGGAGACGGTGAGTTCTAGCCCCGCCTTAGGCATGGAAGCCAATTGTGTGATTCTGGCCAATCACCAAGAGACAGTGAGTTCTAGTCCCGCCTTAGGCATGAAAGACGTCTGGGTGATTCTGGCCAATCACCAGGAGACGGTGAGTTCTAGTCCCGCCTTAGGCATGGAAGCCACTGGGTGACTTTGGGCCAATCACCAGGAGACGGTGAGTTCTAGTTCTGCCTTAGCATGAAAGCCACTGGGTCCCTTTGGGTCAATCACCAGGAGATGGTGAGTTCTAGTCAAGCTTAATTGAAATATGTGGATGGGGAGGCCATCAGAACTTTGAAACAGAACATATGGAACATCCAACGGTTGCCGAGTGACCAGTCGTAAGTCAAGGACGTAGAATTGAGGCAACCAACCTTCTTGTCTCACCGAGGCCATTAGGGCAGCCTTACCTCCACTTCCACCACCGCTGCCAACGCCGATTCCACCGCCACTTCCACTGCTGCCTCTGTAGCCGCCTCCTCCTCCTCCTCCTCCTCCGCCACCACCTCCTCGGTTCTGGAAGCCGCCCCGACTGCCCACTGGCGGGCCTCGATTGTCAAAGCGCTGAAACCCTCCGCCGCCCCCTCGGCCACGGAAACTGCCGCCGCCGCCACCGCCCCAGCTGTCAAAGCGCTTTTCGGGGGGCGGGCCGGCTTTCTTGCCTTCATCGTTGTACTGCCTCACCAGCTTCTCGGCCTCGTCCCGCTGCAACTCAATGTAAACCACCGAGTCGAGGAAATCGCCAGCTTCTGGCAGGGTAAAGTTGGCTGCCGGGAAAGGAAACCCAAGACGCACGTCAGTCCGTGTGAACCGAGGTGGGATGGGGGACAGGCTAAGTCACAGGGGGCGGGACTAAGTGGGGTGGAGCTCCAGGGATTTGGGAACAGCGGAAAAGAGAATCGGGGGGTGGGTGGGTGGGGGCAGAGAACAGAAGGACATGGCTTAAAGCCACAAGCAGGGAGAAGAGAGGGAGGTCCCTTTCCTTGTGCCCGTCGACAAGTAGGGAAATTTATCCTGGTTTCAAGCAGAAGGCTTTATAAACAGTTCTCGACTTACGTCCATTCATTTAGCAACTGTCCAAAGTTACAACGGCGTTCAAAACAGTGACTTAAAGTGACTTTTATGTCCAGCTCAGCAGCGTCCCCACTGTCACATCAATCAACATCCAGATGCTTAGCAACCGGCAGGTACTTAGGACTTTATTGAATTGCTGGTTGTGACTTTCCAAGCTGGCTTACAAAACAAACAAACAAACTGAAGCCAACGGAGAAGGCTGGACTCACTTAATGTCCACGTGATTTGTTTAAGCTGACTGCATTTTTCCTGTTCTGGGGTTTCTTCCCCCTAGAGAAGGCTGCTGCTACAGCTTCCCAGCAGTCAGTTGAGGCTTTCAAACTTTTAAAAGAGGTTAAGGCGTCAGGGTAGAAAGCCGGCTGGGTGACTTTCGGACAATCACCAGGAGACACTGAGTTGTAGTCCCGCCTTAGCCATGAAAGCCAGCTGAGTAGGTCTGGGCCAATCACCAAAAGGTGGTGAGTTCTAGACCTGCCTTAGCCATGAAAGTTGGCTGGGTCACTCTGGGCCAATCACCAGGAGATGGTGAGTTCTAATCCCGCCTTAGACATGAAAGCCAGCTAGGTGGCTTTGGACCAATCAACAGGAGATGCTGAATTCTAGTCCCACCTTAGTGGCTGCGTGAACTTTGGGCCAGTCCCCCTCTCTCACCTCACAGGGTGGTTGTTATGGGGAAAACAAGAGGAGGAAGGTGCATTGGATATGTTTGTTGCCTTGTTTATAAAAATAACAAAGGCGGGATTCAAAGAAATAAATAAAATAAAAATAAACCAAGACAACTGCAGACGTAAAGCATCGCAGGTATGGGAGTGGGTGGGAGCTTAAGAAATTGCAGAGGGAAGAGGAGAAAAAAAAAGAGAGATCTAAAAACATCCTTTTAAAGTCCTTGAACTACACACCAGCGCAGTCAGGTTGGATTTTCTCCTTTTCATACCTGCCATGAACGCGAGGTTTGGCTTTCCTCTTTCAACAACCTACCTTTCATTTCTTTCTTTTTAAATATCTTTTTTTTGTCTTTTATATACAACAAATCATTCCATTTCAATCATGTGTCAACCTGGATACATATTTCAATTATTTAAACATTATTATTTAAATAATTTAAATGATATTCTTATCAAATCTAACAATACATCAATGTTCCCATATATATATTATTATATATATTATATACCTTATTATATACCTATTATATGCCCATTATACCTTTGCTTAAATTTCTCTAATTGCGGTATAAATAGATCAAATTTTTTTTAGGTTGTTCTATTCCCTATCCATTGATAAAGCATACTCCATACCATGTAATATTCTTTTTCTTTAATTTCTAGTGTCATCTATTCATTCTTGCACATTCAAATATTTTTTTAAATAATTTTTTCCTACCTTTCATTTCTAACACTGCGTGATCCGGCACGTCCTTCCCCTCTTCATCCGTGCGCTTTATTGTCCGGTCTTTTAAATCGTCGTCCGTGGGACAAATTACGATAGCTTTGCGTTGAAAACCTTCAAAAGGACGCATTTTTCGCCTCTGGGCTGATCCATAAACATTTGTCTAGCAACGATAATAAAGAAGGTGGTTTTTTAAAAATAAGTAAGTAGGTAAATCAAAGACCTGGTTATTTAGCTCTTTAAGGCTCCCAATGGAACAAGGATTTCCAAGAGAGAAATTCTGGTTCCCTGCCCCCATTCCTCCCTCCCCATGGATAGAGAAATGGATGAGAGTCCTCCCTGACAACGAAGCAACCCTTGAAGAGATCCTCTCGTTTTTTAAAAGATGAAAAACAGCAAGACGTGACATTAATGTGCACCTCATTGCAATTCAAATGAAATCCCCCCCCAGCCCCCAGAAGGCTAAGTTAAGAGGGCAGCAATGGCTTTGGCTCAGAGAAAAGTGCACTTTGCCTTAGGAGGGGGGAAATGAAGCAACGGGGCATCCAGAGCGCATTCATTTAAACGCCCTGTTTGCGTGTTAGAGCCATCCAAGCACTACAGTTAACGAGGAGGTTTAAAAAGAGGCTGCTGCCTTAAAAGACCACCTCTGGGCTTCTGAGTGGAGGAAAGAGGCAGGGAGGCTGCAATTCTGAATTGCATGGGGGAGGGGAGAGCCAAACTCGACAACTTCTGAGACTTGTGGACTTGAAGTCCCAGAATTCCCTGGAGGCAGCATGTGTCTACGCGTCTTAAAAACTGCCAAGGTTGGACGATCCTGATCTTTAGGCATCGTGTTTGAAAGGCATTCGCCTTCAGAAAGATTTATTAGGCTCAAGAAGCCGAAAAAAAGCTGGCTTGATTAGGGCTTATCTAGAATTTGAAAAGCCAGGATTACTGGTTTGCTTTGATTCTAGAATTAAAGGTTGCACAACGGGAGTCATCTATGGGTGGGTTGAGCGGCTATATAAATTTAACGAATAAAATAATAATAATAATGAAAAATAATAATGAAATAAAAATGAGGTGGGCAGGGCACATTTCCACCCACTCTGGCTGGCACAGCTTACTACACATCTGGCCACAGACCCCTCCCAGCTGTCCCCGTGAAGTCAGAGGGGGGGGTGTCTCATACCTGATCCAGGATGTAATTCCGCTTTTTCCGGGCTGCAATCTGGATTAGGCGGTTCAGGCACTGTGTCGCTTGCTGGATGAGAACGTCCCAGCGGCCGGCGTAATTGCGCTGCCGTCGGAGTCCCATTACCTGAGAAAAAGCAGGGCGGTGAAGACAGCGGGGGGGGGGGGGGGGGGGGAGATGCCATAGCAAGAGCGCCCCCCATAGCTGTCCTGAAGAAGGTCTTGCTTCTGGCATTGGGTCTGAAAGGGGCTGTGGGGTCCCAGGGCGATTCACACAGGAGTTATGAAAGGAGGCTATCAGAATAATATACAGGTGGTCCTTGACTTATGGCTGTAATTGACCCTGGAATTACAGCTGTAGGTCATTGTGGTCGTAAGTTGAGGCGCCAGGTTTCCCAAGACCTGATTTTTCAACTTTTTTTTTTTTTTTGCAGATTAAGTTGTTATTTAGCAACATTGATTTATGCCAGAGGTGGGCAACTATGGGCCCTTGATGACTTGTGGACTTCAACTCCCAAAATTCCTGAGCTAGCATGGCTTGCTCAGGAATTCTGGGAGTTGAAGTCCATAATTCATAAAAGGGCCATAGTTGCCCACCCGATTTATGCGGATAAATGAGTTTGACAGCATCTTTTCCAACTAGCAAATTAAGAGGCCTCCTCTAAAGCTTGTGGAGACTGATGCCTTTTAATAAAACATGTTAATTGGAAAAGATGCTTTCAAATATTTGACTACCAGAGAATAATATGACTTTTCTAGAAGTATATGGTCCAACCCTGGCAACTTTAAAACACGGCTGGCTGGGGAATTCTGGGAGTTGAAGTCCTAAAAGCCTTAAAAGTTTCCAAGGTTGGACACCCCTGATATAGGGACTCCTGCTTGAGCAGGTGGCTGGACTAGAAGACCTCCAGGATCCTTTCCCACTCTGTTATTCTGTATCCTCCAATAAAGCTTGAAAGTGGGAGCTTCTTGTATCAGAATCCCTGCAAGGCAGCGACTTCGCAGTCAGTTCTCAAGTAGGACACTGCAGTCTTCTCCAATCTGCCACTTTGCAGATATTTTGGGATTGCAGCCTCCTGGGGTCCCAATTAATTAAGGGCTGGCCAGAAATTCTGGGAACTGCAATCCATCCACCCACTTGGAGGGTGGCAACTTGAAAAGCTAGTCGTGACCCAGACTTTGAGCACTGTTGTATAAACAGGCCTGGTGATTAAAAAGAGGAGGAAAAAGGCTAATCTATAATTCTCTCTCTCTCTCTCCCTCTCTCTCTCTCTCACACACACACACACACAGAACAATCTGAAGAACTGGGAATTTTCCATTATTCTAGAAAGATAATTTGGGATGGCACGGACCTGAGCAAGCTCCCGCCCTCGCCCCGACTCCTGCCAATCAAGCAGGTCAAAAACGTGCAAATGCGAGTAGATTAATAGGTACCACTTTGGTGGGAAGGTAACAATGCTCCGTGATGTCACGCTGGCCACGTGACTGCGGAAATGTCTTCAGAGTTAGCTCAATGGTCTTGAAACGGAATTGAGTACCGACCCCCTAAAGTTGGCAATGACGAGTGGAATAAAATCCACAAATACCTTTATAAGAAAATCCACCGGCTACAAAAGAAAGTCTTTTCTGCAAGGGACCGGCCAGTAAAATCATTTTGAAAAAGACAGTGAGCTGTTCTAAGTTTGACAGGCAAGGAAGTGGCAGGGGCCCACCACAAATGAGGAAGCCGACAGGCGAAACCAGGCTCCAAAGCTTACCCTCATTTTGTCCATAATGGCGTTTGTTCCCAAAATATTATACTTCTTGGCTGGATTGGCTGCGGCATGCTTAATGGCCCACGTAGTCTTCCCAGCGGCAGGCAACCCCACCATCATCAAGATCTGAAACACAGGGCGTGGCTTTAACATCGGCTGCAAGCCAGTAGCGCAACCCCCAAACCAGTTTCCCCCAAAAAACCTCTCTTTTACAAATCCAGTGAGGAAAATAATAGCGATTTTCCTCTATTGATTGTCTGAGGACAATCCATTCCAGACACAGAAATGTGAAATTATAGGCATCTCCTAGCCTCGGAGGCATTAAAAAATAACCCCAACATTTTAACCTTTATATTTTCTTTTAAGAGATACGGGGAGTCGTCAACTTACAATAGTTTGTTTAGTGACTGTTCAAAGTTACGAATGGCTGTTTTTCACACTTACGACCGTTGTGCCATCCCCACGGTCACGTGATTCAAAAATTCAGACTCTCTGACAATGGACTCCTGTTTATGACGGGGTCACGCGATCCCCTTTCGCACTTTTTGACCAGCAAAACCAACAGGGAAGCCGGATTTGCTTAACGACCGGATGATTGACTGAATGACGTCAGGGATTCACTTCATAACCGCGGCAAGAAAAGTTGTAATACGGAGCAAAATAACAGCTGTTTAGCAGTAGAAGTTTCTGGGCTCAAAATTGTGGTCCAAAGTCAAGGACTACCTGTGTAGCTTTATCGGTCTAACATCCAATCAGCGATCACCATCTTAGTGTTTGAGTCTGTGAATCTCTGATTGGCCCTTTTCACTGCTGACAAATTGGGAGACTGAGCGTTCACTTCTGAATTTTTTGGGTAAGCAGTTTAAGACAGCGGCCGCCATCCAGTGGGCCGGGGACTACTGGTGGTCCGTGAGAAAATTTTGGTGGTCCTCAGAGAAATGTCACCCCCAAAGCAATTAATCCAGGCTGTGCAGAAACACAAGGCTTGCATCGCGAACAACACGAGGTAGTGAGGGGAGGGGGGGGAAGGGCAGAAGGGGAGGACTTGCCCCACTCGCCTGGCCTGGCCACCGGGCTGCTTCTTTCCGCTTCTTTCTTCTTCTGCTTTTGGCTGCATGCAAGGAAAGCAGCCAAAGTCTTTCTTTCTCTCCCCGAAAACTCCGCCAGAAATGAATCTTTGGGACCGTGCAAGGCATCCTGTTCCAAGAGGCTGCGCCGACACAACCAGCCACACAAAGACTCATTTCTGGTGGAGTTTGGGAGAGAGAAAGAAAGACTTTTGCTGTTCTGCTACTTTCCTTGCATGAAGCCAAAAGTCTCTCCCTCCCCTCTCCCCCTGAGAACGGAGCTGGAGACGGTATCCTGAGATCCCAAATAAAGAACGATCAATTGATAGGAAAATGGGGTGGCGAAATTTTCCTGCAGACTCTTTTGGGGGATTTTCCCAGGGTCTCTGGTCCGCGGGATTTAAAATTATGAGTTTGGTGGTCCCTGAGGTCCAAAAGGTTAGCGACCCCTGGTTTAAGACATAGTTTTAAACCCAGTCGATACAATACTATTTCAAGGGGGGGACTGGGGGGGAACTGCTCTTCTCTGAGTCCTGGTCCAGTCAATCATGAATAGGCAAAGGACCTGGCAGTTGAACTCCAGAGTCTGCCATGGCTGGATTCACATTTTGGGGGGGGGGGGGGGGGGGGGGGGGGGGGGGGGAAGGCACCTACTTCACATTCCCTTTTGCTCTTTGGTCCAATTGTGCCCCGAACTCGCTCGGACAGCGGGAGGTGCTGTATGAAGGTGAATCCCGGTGGAACCGGAAAGAAGGTATCTTCCCTTTGGCCAAAGTTGAACTCGATGGCGCAGTTCTTCGCCAGGACATGAGGGAAGAGGGCCTGCCCTCCCAAATTCTCCTTCCGTAGTCGATAGGCCATCCCTAGCCACTTCCCGTTTTTCATGAAGGACATTTCGACGTCATCACCGCACTCGAAGTCCTGAGAAGGAAGGAAGGAAGGAAGGAAGGAAGGAAGGAAGGAAGGAAGGAAGGAAGGAAGGGAGGAAGGAAGGGAGGAAGGAAGGAAGGAAGGGTCAATCAATCTAGAAGCAGGAAATGGGAGGCTGGCGGAAGCTTCTGGAGAAGGGAAGGTAAAGGAGACCCCGTGGGTTTTGCTACACTAGCCCAGGGGTCAGCAACCTTAAACACTCAAAGAGCCACAAAGATCCTAACCGGAAGCTCCCCATTCAATTCTGGAGCCGACCAGACTCTATGGCAGTTCCCCACCATAGAGTCTCCTCCTAGCACGGTGTCTTTTTCCCTCTACCTGTCCTAACTGAAAGCCCTATACATTGTGGAGATGACCGGCAACAGGGAGCCGCAGCAGAGGGATGAAAGAGCCACATGCGGCTCCAGAGCCGCAGCCAACTTTCGGTGGTGTTGCTCATCTCCTCTAAGCCACTGGAGAGCTTTCTGCAGCCATGACATTGTGCTGCAGCACAGACTATGCAGTGAAATTCGGAGCATTTCCCACCGAAATGGCACCTATTTATCTTCTTGCATTTGTGTTCTTGCGAACTGCTAGGTAGGCAGGAGCTGGGCCGAGGAGCGGGAGCTCACCCCGTCACACAGCAGCACTCAGGTCTCGAACCTGGGGCTGCCGGCTTTCCAGGGGACAAGCCCAGCGTCTTAACCACTGAGCCACCGTGGCACCTTAGAGGGGTAAGCTTCTGGAACACCACAGGCTGCACTCACCACAAGACAAGTGATGACGTCGTTCTCGGAAAAGGTCTCACCGTAATTTTCAAACTTGCAATTAGTAGATTTCTTCGCGGTGCCTCCGTAGCCATACGAGAAAGCCTCTTCGCCTAACAAGAGTGATAATTACACAGAGATCTGAGCAGCCATACCATGGGAGGCCAGGTGGCATTAGTAGGGCAGAGACCTCTTAATATCTCCAGTGTGATTTTATTTAAGCAGGGAAATTGCCTAGTTCAAAAGCTCCTGCATAAAGTAAAGATACTTAAGAGTAAAGATAGCCCAGCATAGCATGAAAGCTAGCTGAGTGACTTGGGGTAAATCACCAGGAGACAAATGAGTTCTAGTCCCACCTTAGGCATGAAAGCCAGCTAGGTGACTCTGGGACAATCACCAGGAGACTGTGAATTTTAGTCCTGGTTTAGGCATGAAAGCCGGCTGGGAAACTATGAGCCAATCATTGCCTCTCAGCCCAACTGATCTCATAGGGTTGTTGCCGTACAGTAAACCGGAAGAAAAAAGTATATTAGATATGTTCGCCACCTTGAGTTGTTTATATAAATAATACAGGTAGAATGTAAAATAAATAAATGAAACGTACCCTGAGCCCTCCCTATATCCAGCAATTAAAACTACTCACCTAACTGAGTGCTACATGAATCCAGTGACCAGCCAATACGCACTACGTGAGGATCTGGTTCAGTGGGAGGAAGGTGTTTGACGGAGATCTCTTCATTGATCTGAAAACAAAAAGAAAGCATTGTTTATTACAAGACAGACAACATTTATTACAAGAACAAGAGCTGATTAAATAAATTATTCAAGAACAATTATTGCCTTCTTAATTAATTCCTACAGATTTAACGGTTCTATGAAGAATTCCTAAAATACTGGATATAATTTTTTTTATACGGCAGAATATTGAATTCAAGCTATTCTAGATTTTTTAAAAACCAGGCTGTTGAGCCAAAACCTCAAGTGAATTTTTTTTTTTTTAATTTAATGGGCTATGATTTTCATTAGCAAGGATTATAATCGTATCATCAGCGAATAAATGTAAGAGATAACCTTTGCTCGGCGTAATGCAATTGCTAACATTACAATAATAAAATAAAAGCAATAAAGAGGAAAAGGGCTATCCCTGTTTGTTGTTATGAGAAACCGAGTCACAATTGTTGGTTCTTACTTGTGCTCTTATGGCCTGGTAAATAAAGGCAGGTAGGTAGGGAGTGTGGAATTACAAGCAAATTTCCTGTCAACGAGCAAAACATTGGAACACAGGCTGAATTCCAAGTAGTGGGGATTTTAACTGCCCCTGCGCAGAAGTGAAGCCTCAGGATATAACTAGTTTAGTCCTCACAGAAAATACCAAGAATTAAGGAATAACTTATGCAACTGCCACAGCTTCCCCATAACCTTCCTCTGTCCTCTGACCCCAGATACCAGTGGATTCCTCAGCTCACAAGTATGCCAGGTTAATATTCATATAATCTCCTCTGCACTTTTGCAGTGAGGATGGATGTTCCCTCACCTTCATCTCGTAGCACACCCTTCCACGCCGCACCCCGTATGTCGCTCGTGCACCTGACCAGAGGAAAGCAAATCCTTCGATGGTCAGAGGGTATCCGCTATATCGATCGCGGGCAACTTTGAAATGGAGATCACAATTATCTGAAGAGCAAAGCGAACACCATTGTTAATAAAAACCAAAGGAGATGGGTGGCAGAGGCACCCATGGGCTAAAATCCAGTACAGATCACAGCAACATAATAAAAAAAATGAGGCTTTCTTTGAGGGAAAATAACTATCCTGATGTTAAGCTAGTTTAATATGCAAGAAGAATTAGCTAACTCCTCATTTCTCGTATCAAAATCACTGCAGTAAATGGCTGCATTAAAGGAGCCAGGACTGAAATGGAATGGTTAATGGAGAATTCTCACTGAAAAAAATCACTTCTGCTTTGCAAGCTAAAAAAAATCCCAAATCACGCCTCTATTCAATAATTTTCTTGCCAAAATAGGCTGGCTTAGTATGAGACAAAGATGTTTCATGACTCATGACTATTAAACAAATCCACTTAGGGGGCTTGTAGTTTTTAAGAAAGAAATCAATGCCTTACAAGTCTCCCAATAGCTAAGACATTTACTTCACCATTTAAATCCCTTTTCGACCAACCCTAAAAATCTACAACTACAAGAATGTTGTTGTTTTAACCATTCAGTTGTATCTGACTCTTGGTGGCTTTATATGCAAGTGCTCTCTATGCCACCCTGTCAATCACAGCTTCTTTCAGTTGCTGGATGTTCAACCACCTCCTCCTCCTCCTTCTTCTTCTTCCTTCTTCCTTTTTCTTCCACTAATCCTGCCTAGCATCGTTGCCTTCTCCAATGAATTAGCACCAGAAAGAATAAAAACATTTCAACTTCCACCTATTCGAGGGAGGGTTTGCCCACTCATGACCCAAAGTAAAATAGCTGCAAAAAGCTGAATTTAAGCCTTCCCGTTTAGTAGAGTCAGATCTGCAATTTCTCCTCTTCCAGGAAACCAACAATCTAGGACTCTTCCACAATCCCTTTCATGGAATTACAAATATCGTGACCCAACCATCCCTCTAAGCCAGCTGCTGTCATCTTACTGCACCTCAAGAGATGTGAGGTGATTGAAGGACACAGGAACAGAGCCAAAGGGGGGAAACTCTGCTATGTGTTGACGCTGCAAATGAGCAAGTTCAGGCGAGAGGAAATCTGTCTAGGGAGGGAGCAACGCAATTTTTATTTACTGTTCACATTCCTGAACCGACCTTCTCCCTCAAAGAGGGACGCCGGATGGCTTACAGTAAAATGTAAATATAAAATATAAAGATATGTAAAAACAATGCCGCAATCTCCGTAACTCACATGTATCGATGGCCACCAGGGACTCGTCGAAATCGTCTTCATCGTCTTCTGCAGGCGGCTGAGGAGATCGACCCCTGGAAGAGAGGCAGCAAACGGAGCTTCCGTGAGCCCATTTGAGGCAAACTGCAAGAGACGCAGCCTGCCAGGCAGGCCGAGAGAGGAAACACAGGGCCTAATTCCAGGAAACAAATCCCACCTTCCCCGCCACTTTACCGTGTTGATTAAACTGGGAACACTTTGGGAGCTCCTATCCAAGTCAAAAATGGCCTTCCCATTACTGCTGCCCATTGATTCAGAGATAGGAAATCTTCAGTTTGGACTACAACTCCTAGCATCTCTAGGAAATATGGCTGAAAGGGAGGGATGCTGGGTGTTGTAGTTCGGGAACACCATGAAGGTTTCTTTTGGTGAGATAGGTTCCTATGATAGATGGATGGATGGATGGACAGATACATACATGCACAGCAGACCTAAGACTTATATACCGCTTCACAGGGCTTTTACAGCCCTCTCTAAGCGGTTTACACAGTCAGGCTCTTGCCCCCAACAATCTGGGTCCTCATTTAACCCACTTCGGAAGGATGGAAGGCTGAGTTAACCTTGAGCTGGTCAGGATCAAATTCCAGGCTGTAGTCAGTTAGCCTGCAATGCTGCATTCTAACCAGAGAAACCACGGCTCCGTCATACACACACACGCACACGTAATACACATATACACAACAGTATATATGTATGCCTTAACAAAAAAGTTTTCTCAGATGAGAATCTGCATTTACAAAGATGTTATACAACCAGTGTTCATTTCAGCCAAATATATATGTTACTTTAAAGCTTAAGGCTAAAGATCAGGTAAGAAACAGCCACTCTTCCTGCTCAATTTTTCATCCGATCGTGCTTAGAATCTTTACAACTTTACTACAGTCAAGCGCCGTTTGCCAAGACGGAGAAATAGATGAAGAGAATAGAATGCCTGTGACAAAATCCCAGGTGCCTTCCCTCAAAGACACCTCTGGGCTCAGTTCCTTTCCGGAGCAGTTTTGGAAAAAAAATAAAACAAGCTAGATGAACGACGTAAGTGCCCCAAATCCTCGTCTGAACGTACCTTTTATCCTCGCGATATTCATAATATCCACGCCCCCTGGACTCGTCAAATGTCCTCTTGTGGCCTTGCTGTGGCTGCTGCTGCTGCTGCTGCTGCTGCTGCTGCCAGGGCTGATAGGAGTCTGAGGTGTTATACCCAGAGGGGGGCGCATTGTAAGAGGAAGCTGAGGCATTATAGCCAGAAATGGAAGAACTGTAGTTGGAGGGGGGTGCGTTGTAACCAGACGCCGGTATGTTGTGGCTGGGAGCGGCCTCCTCTTCCTTTACTTCTGTCTTCATTTCTGCATTTTAAGCACAACATGCACATTTCAGCAGGGAAGGAAATCCGTGCGGAAAGGAAACAACCGCTGCTGTTTATTCTGAAAAAGCCAGCAACCCTTGGCCCTAACTACAAGAGAAAGCTCTCTTTCAATTTCACTACCAAATGACTTGGCCCTGAGCCAGCCAATGGTTAAGAACCAGGGAAGAGATGATCAGCAATAAAAACTGGTGAGGAAATTATCCTCAGGTTGATGTGCCAGAACCAAAAGCATCTATTTAATCGCCCCTCCCTTAATTTTCTTCACTTCTGCTCTTAAGATCAGCGGGTTCTATTATTAGAATAAGACAGAGATACGATCAAGATAACAAGGAGAGGGATGTTCAGGCAGAGAATTCCAAGGGGAACAATGTAATATTCAATTAGGGCAGCGATCCCAAGCGGAGACGAAAAGAAAACAAGATGTGTTCCTCACCTGACTGTGTGTTTTTTTTTTTTTAAAAAAAGGGAGAAGATAAAAGTCCACAATAAACAGAAGAAAACTCCATTACATTTCCCTTAATAGAAAATGCAGCAAAGTGAAAATGATACAATGAGCTAACAATAGTGGGGAAAAAAATATAACAGAAGTCTTATCATTGAACAATTTGCAGATCTTTTATACGTAGGTAGTCCTCGACTTATGGCCGTCATGCATGGGTCAGTTGCCAAGCACCTGAATTTTGATCACAGGGCCAGGGGGATATTGCAATGATTGCTAAGTGTGAAAAAACGGCCGTTAAGTCGGTTTTCCCCAAGCGCTGTCGTAATGTCAAACTGTCACTAAAGGAACCGCTGTAAGTAGAAGACTACCTGTGCTACATTTTGGTACACTTCACCAGTAAAAAGTATCTATGTCCCCTACCTCTGTTTTGTTTTAACGCAAAAAAACAACAACTGAGGCATTCCAGCAGTGCTACTTCAAAACTTCCTACCCGACCACTCTTCGGTCAACAAAATAACGAAGGCTTCCCTCACACACACACACACACACACCCCGCACCACTTACCTGATCGATCTTGGCTTACAGATCCCCGCTCGTAACCCAGCTCGTTCTCCTGTTTAATATTGAAATGCTCAAAAGACTGATATCCTTGCCGGTTGTCTTGGCGAGTGTTGTCACGGATGCCATCTTGAAAACAGGAATCAAAAGGAAGATTAGCGCCACTGTTCCGTGCTACTTTGGAAAAGAAAGAAAGAAAGAAACCCGTGTTCCTATTTTTCTTTCACCGTCAGCAAGTGGTCGGGCTAAATGGAGTGAGCGGCAATCCCAGCCAGCCCAACCCAGACTTACCTGGAACGTCTGCGGAAGAGTTATACCTTTAGCGCAATTAAGTGGCTGAATCTTTTTCCGGAGTACTGCAATTCAAGATGCAGATGGGGAAGGCAAATGGCGGGGTTTCGTGTGAGAATGCCCCATCCTGAAAACCAGCTTGTACAGTATTGTGTGGCAGACCGAAATGCCAGAGAGGAGGTTAATGCTGCTGCTGTTTTTCCTCTGAATACGACTTCCACCCCAGGGGAGGGTGAAAATAGTGCTGCTAAGGAGAGGGTTTGCTCCTTGGTTATGGCAAGGCTGAATGCCAAGGCTGAACAACACAGGAAACCAGAGGGTGCAGCATGTCCTCTGCATCACACACAAAATTGTGCTTGATGTAGAAGAAAAAAACAAAACCTTGTATTTTAAGCCCAAAGTGAATCACAGGTGGAAAGCTGCCCTCTTAGATTTGGTGCATTTATCTACCTTGTTTGATATTGGCTGGAATATTGTCTTGTTGTGATATCTGTATTTTAACCAAAGAAATAATAGAGTTAGAAGGAACCTTGGAGGTCTTCTAGTCTAACCCACTTCTCAAGCAGGAGACCTTGGTCTACACCATTTCAGACAAGTACCTGTCCACTCTCCTCTTAAACTTCTGTCAGGAAATTTCTCCTTAGATCTAGGTTGCTTCTCTCCTTGGTGACTTTCCATCCATTGCTTCTCATCCTGCCTTCAGATGCTTTGGAGAAGAGGCTGACCCCCCGCTCTGCTTTATGGCAACCCCTCAAATATTGGAACACTGTTATCATGCCATCCATAGTCCTTTCTTTTCACTAGAGTAGCCAAACCCAATCGGCCAGTTCATATATATGTTTTAGTTAGCATATAGCATAAGATACATGGACAGCAGCAGTAAAGACGCATGGAAAAAATGCACGATAATATGATATACCTAAGTTGGAGATGTGCGGTCAATTTTGCAAGGTACAAGAGATTCAGTTCAGAATAAATAGGTGATCAATTGCTAAAATCGTTGGAATCCTAGGTAGGTATCAATTGCGCTGTCTTTACACCTTCAGGGGCATGCTAGATGCTCCCTGGAGATCCTGTGGGTCCCTTTCCAAGAAGCAGCTGTGCTGAAGCTTCCCTTAAGGCAAAAGGATCCCAGGCATCGCCTGGCAACAAAGGGTGGCATCAGGGAAAACAAATGCCCAGATGCCATAAAAAATAAACTTGGCACTTTGGGAGTCAAGAAAAGTCCTGGTAAAGTACAGCTTGGATTGCCCAAAGGGCTCCTGGGCTGAGAAACCTCCAAAGTGGGATGTCTCTATGGAGATTCTCAGTCTTGTTCTTCCAAAGGTGTTCTTTCTTTCTTTCTTTTTTTCTTTTTCTTTCTTTCTTTCTTTCTTTCTTTCTTTCTTTCTTTCTTTCTTTCTTTCTTTCTTTCTTTCCCTTCTTTCTTTCTTTCTTTCTTTCCCCAAATGGCAACTGGGTTTTGTTTTTCCTCCAAGAAGCTTCCTCGGTTCTTTAGTTCAACTGAAGAAGGTTCTTGGATGAGGAAAAACTAAGTCCAGTTGCCTTTTTGGGGAAGGGGGAAAAAGCACTTTGGGGACTCTTCTGTGGAAGCATCCACGGGTTTCGCGGGAGGGCCGGGGAAGGAGAAAGCGGCGTTGGGTCATCGGCAGCTGTCCGGATCCCCGGTCACCTCCTCTGTGGACCTTGCAGCCCGGATCTCCCCAGGGAAGGCCACTCGGGCCTGGCACTGATCTCTCCCAAGAGACCCATCATTCCCTGCCCCACGTTCCTCAGTGATGGGCTGCTTCGTACGACCCATGCTTCTGGCAGACCCATCCTCCCCAGCGAGGGGTTGTGTGTCTCCTCACTGGCTTACGTTCCCCAGTGATGGGCTGCTCCCATGCTCCCCGGAGACCCATCCTCCACAGCATCGCGACGTCCTCAGTGACCATGCTCCCCGGCCATCACATTCCCCCTCAAAAGACCCGTCCTCCTCACCTAGGATTGTCTCCACACAAGCCCATGCTGCCCGGGCGGAGCTTCCCCGGAGATCCATCCTCCCCAACGAGCGGGAGGTCACATTCCCTCGCCCCCCAACCCGGCGAAGACCCATCCTCCCCAGCTCTAACGCCCCCCGACACCCATCCTCCCCAGCAATAGACGCCTCCTCACAGGTCCATGTCCCCACAACGACGGCCCGCCTCGTATGACCCATGCTCCCCGGAGACCCATCCTCCCTGGCGAAGGAGCGTCTCTCCCCACAGACTGTAACATCCGACCCGGAGACCCATCCTCCCCGGCCAGCCGTGTCGCCTCACAGGCCCGCCCGCGGTCCCCTGCCTCGCGGGACCCATGTTCCCCGGCCCATGTTCCACGCCGCGACCTTCTCTCCTCCCAGGCTCGCTTACAGTGTCCGTCGGAGAGCGACTCTCCGTCCGAGCCCGAGCCCGACGCTCCTCGGGCCTGCTCGGCTTCTAGGGCGGCATGCAACCTCCCAGCCAGCTCAGCCTTGAGCCCGCGGGTGTCGAGGCCACGGCGGCCGAGCTCCTCCTTCAGCTCGCTGACGCGCAGCCTCCGCACATCCATGGCGCGCTCAATCCCGGCCACAGGGTCGCCGTTGCCCGGCCATAGGGGCTCCGTTCCGGGCTCGGCTCAAAATGGCCGCTCTCCCTTAACCCCCGCCATGCAACGGGCTCTCTGGTTGGCCGACCCGGCGGTGGGCGAATAAGAGGCGCTCTCTGATTGGAGAAAGCGCCCTCCTCCCTTTCGCCCCCCTCCTCTCGCTCCCTCCGTCTCCCGCTCATTCCCTGCCTGTAAAAGGAGCTCGCGCATTGGACAGAAATAAAGGTCAGTCTATAAAGAGCATCCCCATTGGTTGAGAAGGGCTCGTTTCCTTCCCCGCCTTCACTTTCTCTGAAACTGCTCAGGGAAAGCCGAGGGGAGGAAAAAAACAACTGAACTGACGAACGATGGGGCGGGACTAAGGTTCCTGAAGGCGAATCCCCGAGGCCTCTCCCTTCCTAACTTCTCATTGGCTGAAAGCCCGACTTGTTTGTACTGTTATGTGGAGGCATTTCCCACCCTCTCTTTTCTAATTGGCTGAGCCTCCCTCCCTCCGTGGGGATGATGGGATTTGAAGTTCAACACATCTGGAAAACAACAAATTAGGAAAAAGTGACCTCAAGGCCAAAACGAGGGGTGTTTAACACCCCCCCACACACAAATACCTCTTTATATTTACATTCTCTATAAAGATATATAACATTTGAACGTCATATATTAAAATATATACTACACACAAACTTATGTAATATTTTATATATAACCTGCATTTCTCTTAAATGGAGGTCATTATGAATTATGCAACTGTAAAAGCAACATTGCCCCCAAATCGAGCATAACGTAGCCAAATACCTAGTAGAGTTTATTATCCCTACTGAACAAAATGGAATTTGAATATAGAGTAACTTTGTCTAGATGGGGCTCAGATTTAGATATTGAACTTGTTGGAAGAAATATCCACCTGTTTCGGTTCCGAGCCGGGAGAAAGACACTGGAAACATGGAGATTGATTGGAAAGATGGTTTAATGTTGAAGCAGAACCACATGGAGTTGAGAGTGAGGGGTATTTATATCTTCTCGGGCTTTGCACTTGAGCTTTCTGTTCCTGTGCAAGAACATGTATTCTATTGATTGTTGTAGGGGCCTCAGCTAACTTTGTAGGTTGTCTGAGCTCCCAGGTTTGGTTGAAGTTCGGACTGCAGATACAGCGAAGGGGCTTGTTGGGCAATTCCTGTTGTGGCTGAGGGCTCACCCTACCTTTCTTCAGACCTTGCTGCAGGGAATTTTTGCCTATAAATAGAGCTATCTATCTCTTTATTGATTGTTTCCTTGTATGATTTAATTGCTTATTGTACCCTATGACTATTATTAAGTGTTGTACCTTATGATTCTTGACTCTTGACAAATGTATCTTTATTTTATGTACTGTGACAGCATTTGCACCAAGACAAATTCCTTGTCCAATCATACTTGTCCAATAAAGAATTCTATTCTATTCTATTCTATTCTATTCTATTCTATTCTATTCTATTCTATTCTATTCTATTCTATTCTATTCTATTCTGTTTATCTCTTAAGTGCTGGCATCTGCTGAGAGCTATTAAGAAGGATGGGGGCTCTCTCTGTCTCCAAGAGCATATTTCTCCCTTTAGGGAACTATAATATTCTGCCTTTTTAATATTTCCTAAAATATTTCATAGGAGAGGGGTGGGTGCTAACTTTCTACAAACTAAACCATGATTTAATAATAAACCACAGCTTTCTAGATGACCATGCTTAGCACAAGATAATGATGTTAGTTGATATATCACTTTAAGCACTGGAGCTATGTTGTCTGAAAATTCTGGGAAGTGTAGTTCCAACACATCTGGTGGTGTAAATTTGGGAAGACTGAATCTTAGAGCATTGTACCTCAACCTTAAGAGCTGTGAACTTCAACTCCCACAGCATCTGGCTGGGGAATTCTGGAAGTTGAAGTCCACTTCTCTTAAAATTGCCGAAGTTGAGAAATATGGAATTTGACTATTTCTACATTGCAGAAATTTAACCACCAGAGGGTAGCATCGTAACAGCCAGACCAGCAATGAGATATTTCCAATCTGATTTTTGTCCTCTTCAGGCTAAAAACCTTTCTCAGGATAATTGGAGCTCTCCACAGCTCCTTATATTGAGCTCAGGATTCAAAGATCCAGCTCCCGTAAGGATCCTGTAATTCTGGGTAAATTGGAAAGAAACCACCAGCTGCAAGATGGATAGACTTTATTATAGCGGCAGTGAACGAACCCTGAGAGACCCTCTAAAAGGCCAGGTTGAAAATATATCTTCTTACAGAAAATCTATGTCAGGGGTCTCCAACTTTAAAACTTTAAAAGCAGCTTTAAAACTTGTGGACTTCAACTCCCACAATTCCTCCGCCACCCATGCTAGCTAAGGAATTCTGGGAGTCGAAATCTACAAGTTCTGAAGTTACCAAAGTTGGAGACCTCCTTAATCTATGTGGTAACTAAATATTAACACCAACTTGATAGCACCTAACCAACCAACCGACCAAACTGGGTTAGGGCCCATTCCTTTTCCTTCAAGTGAAGGAGGATTGGAATTTGTGTCTTAAATCACCATGTTGATTTTTTATTTTTTATTTTACCATGCCCTTCGCACACCTCTGATTGAAACAGATTTATCAATTGAAAGCAAATCCTGTTTTCCTATTTCCCTATTCTGTATGTATTCGCTTCCTCTCCTTTTAAAGTTTCCTACTCATTTTACTTCCCTATTGACAGTCCGAGAAACAGAAAATCCCCCTTTAAGGACTCCGGGGCTGACTGGAAAAGAGTTCGACCCCAATTAAGAGGAATGTGTTTGGGGAGACAAGAGTTTCCCCCTTGCTAAATGGACTTCCTTGTTTCTCTGTTGACTTGCTGGGCTTGATTCAAGAATAGTTCTAGGAAGCAGTCTTGAATGTGCCTATTGATGGTGCATTTGCCTGACAAGGAGAGGGGGAAAACAAGGGATTAATCCTCCCACCCACCCAGCCCGCTTCCAATACACATTGCATTGGTCCCTTCCAACTCTGTTATGCCTTCACTGCTCCAGCATCCCCCACCCCCAATCACGTGATCAAAATCCACATTGCATTGGTTTTTAAGAATAAGCAAGGCTTCCCAGCTCAGCTACCAATGGAGATGTGGAGACCCTAGAAGAAGGGTCTCCAAACTTGGCAACTTTAAGACGGGTGGACTTCAACTCCCAGAATTCCTGAGCTAACATGACTGAAGGAGAAATTCTGGGAGTTGAAGTCCACAACTCTTAAAGCTGTCAAGTTTGAAGACCCCTGAGCGGAGAGAAGGGCAACAAAGATGATCGTGGGTCTGGAGGCTAAACTGCTTGCTGAACAATTGAGGGAACTGGAAGAAAAAAAAACTGGGGTGACCTAATAGCAGCATTGGAATAGCTAAGGGGTTTGCCACAAAGAAGAGGGGATCAACCATGGCAAAAACAAAGGTTGTGAAATTGGGCGTGACTCATTTAACAACTGGCTTGCTAGGGAAATTTGTGGGCCCGATTGTGGGCATAAGCCGAGGACTACTCAGTGCCTGTTTCAAGCCTTCTTTCCTGCCCCTCCCCATAACTTCCTTGCCCCCTGAGCAATTAAAATTTCAGGACCAGATTATCACCTCTGTTATTTATTTATTTTTTTAAAAGAAAGTTTTTATTTAAAAGCAAAAATATACCACAGAGCATTCTCTAAAAACAGACCTGAGTGGAAAATGCATTTTTACAAAAGTAATGAGTGGGGAAAAAAACCATTTCATATACAGCATTTTTTTCTTTAAAAAGTATATACATTTATATATATATATTTATTTATCTATATAATATATATAAAAAAATCATTAATAAGAATCTAAAGGAAAATAATTCACTGGGCTGTGTGCACGTCAGCTTGATAGACTGTAATCTTAGTGTAATAGCAGATAATGTCAAATAACACAACAGGTACAAGGAACGTCAAAAGAATAAGGAGGTGTGTTGCATGTTTAAAAAGGGGGGCAGGGTTTAAGACATGCTGGCTGGGGCATTCTGGGATTTGAAGTCCACAGGTTTTTAAATGGCCACGGTTGGACAGCCCTGCTTTTTAGACCAGCAGAAAACACCTCCTTTCTCCAATCTGGCCGTTCCTTACAGATTCCCCGAAAGGGAAGGCGAGATTGCATAATGCATACTGGCAAGTAGAATGGAAAATATGATTTTTTGCAGCTGGAATAAAGTCCCGGAAAATAGGATTCAACGGCAGGGAATGAGTTTTCTCAAAGAGGTTGGCATTGCACAATTCTATCTGCTTGTCCAAAGCTGAAACTCGACACGGAACCAGGGATCCATCTCTCACTTTGAAAAGAATGAAGCTGTTGAGTGACATAAAATTGGGGAGTGGGATGCCAATCCCCCCACCCCTCTTTTGTTCTTAGCAAACCCTCTCCAGGTAGGAAAATAATTTCTGAGACTGGAAGTGCTGTAATTAAAATCAGGCCCCGTCTTTGCATCCGCTCCGAGTCCGTGGGTTTGCCTTGAGGGGGGCAAGAAGGAATGCCGGGCCTAGAGGGGAGAGAAAGAAGAGGAGGGGGCGACGAGGAGACCCACGCAAGGGGTGGCCTGCTGGAAACCCACTCTGGCCCAGGTGAACTGGAACAGGTAAGGAGGTCCTCGATTTGTGGGCGCAGGTCAGCGGAGTCAGGTGGGAGAGAGATCCGTCGGGTGAAGGATGTCCATGGGCCTCAAAGGTTTGTCTTTGGAAGCCCCCTCTTGGGGGCAGAGAGGTGGGTGGGGGTCACCAAACAGGGTGCCTTCCAATTGGGTACATAAACACCCAATGGATAGGTCTGCAGATCTTCCCTTTTTAGGCCCCTTCCTCAGTGGCGGCGCAGCCGAGGGCTTCGGTCAAGAGCCGGCTGTTCTCGAGGGGAGTGGGGCACATCACGTAGCGGCCCATGGCCTGTGGCGGGTGCACCTCGGCGGACGTCACCATGGCCTTCAGCAGCTGGCTCTCCTTGGCTAGGGCTTCCTCGGGCCCCAGGCCTCCCACGGCGCCCAGCTCCACCTCGGCGGGGGCCACGCCATCGTCCATGTTGACATAGAGGATCTCTTCGGGGTCTTTGGGAGGTGGGAGTGACTTGAGGGTCTTCTCCAGCTCCTGGGATAGGATTTCGAAAGTGGGGCGGTCGCGGGGGTTCAGCGCCCAGCAGCTCGTCATCAGCTCATACCTGAGAGGAGAGGATGAGGGGAGCAGGGGAGAAGAACAAGAAGACGGAGAAGTTGTTTCTGGAGAACAGATTCCCTCTGGGGATCTGCAGCAAGTGTCACCAATCTTGGCAACTTTACAACTTGTGGACTTCAACTCCCAGAGTTCCCCAGCCAGCGGTGCTAGAAGGAAGTGGGGCTTATAAATAGAGAGCAAACACTCCCTTCTAACACTGATTATGTTAGCTCGTTGGGTAATGAAACGTTTGCATGAAAACAACCAAGTTCTGAGAGCACCGAGGACCTGCAATATTTCTCCTCCTCCCCTCCTTCTCCCTTCTTGCATTGATGATGTTACCTAGTTTGGTAACGAAATGTCTGCAGGAAAATAACCAAGTTCCAAGAGCACCAAGGACCCCACAAATGTTTTTCTTTCCCTTGACACCCAAATTTTGGCTATGTCCCTTCCTCTCACCCCCAACTCTATTGCTTCTCCTCTGGTTTCTTTCCAAAGTTTCTGGGAGTAGGACGCCAAACCTAGGTGGTACACACATACACACATACCCACACACACACACTGTCATGCCCCTGGTAGAGACTGACTCTAAGGGAGAGGAGGAACAGCTGACAGGGAGTGGAAGTGTAGCTCTGGAAGTTGTGAAGGAGGCTGGGGAAGGGCAGAGGCCGGCTGGGCAGTCAGAGGAGGACCCAGGCCCATCCCCTCTTCATCCTAGGGCACGCAGGGAGGAGAGGATCAGGGAGAGACGTGGCCTACTTGGGGGGAGAGGGCCTTGATCCTCTTCCTGGGCTGCAGCTGTGACAACTGAATAAGAGGATGGACATGCGTACTGGCAAATGCTAAAAACAAAGCATGGAAATATCTCTAGTTTATGGTTCCTCTCTGAGTTTGTCGTCCTTCCCAGGGTGTGTTATCTGTGGACGTCCTCCAGCCCTTATCTTGCCTGGTTTGTGTTGCTTTTTCCCTTCTTCTTGTAACTGTGTGTGGGAGTTTTTTGGATTCCATCAAGGGTATTTGGAGTTTGGAAGCAAAGTGAAGGAATGAAAGGGGCTTCACCTGTTTTCTGTGACTGTGTTTGTTTTGTATCCCACCCTGGGTCATCACACACACACTTCTACCTCTCTCTCTCTCTCTCTCTCTCTC